ACATAACACGATTGAATCACATCTAGACTGAGGCCAAACAACACTCAGTTGGCAATAAATGATGTTTGTTCAACAAATGGGGGGGGGGGGGGGGGGGTCAATAGTTCAGCTATAACTTGTGCAATCCAGAAGGCTACAATGTGATTATTGATGCATTTTTATAATCTAGATTCTAGATGCACTCCCCCACTTCCCCCATGTGAGACTGGGTCGTTTTAAAACAGTGTTCAGCTATTTCCAATTAATTTACAAAATTTAGAATAATTTGGGACGTTGTATGATGTGTAAATCAAAACAATGCAATGGTTTGTAAATCCCATAACTCCATGTTTTACTCACAATAGAACATATGCGTGTGTTTAAATGGAAATAAAAGCCATACAACAAAGTTCAGTCAGGTCATCTGGATAGTTTTTTTTTTTTTGTTGAGACGTTTCATCCTTTATCTAAAAAAGGACTTTATCCATCCGAGGAGCCACAAACAAACGTGGATGAAGGAAACTGTCCAGATGAGCTGACTGAACTTTTGTTGGATTTTTGACCTGGATTACTGAGCAGGAGTTTTGATAAAAGCCCTACAATTAAGAAAACGGTACGATCATTTTAAGTTTGATTGCACAACACTTCTAAAGATAAAATAAAAGTGGGGACGGTCAACAAAAGGCTGAACCACCATGAATAATGTACAACTGGAGGAGCCATTTTTCATCTAATCAGATTAACTGGCAATAGCCAAGATTTGGTCTAAAAAGAGCCTTTTAGAAAAAGTGAATTACTCAAACTGAACAGCGGTTCACAAGTCGGTGAAGAACCGTCTAAAAAATAGTGGAACATCCATCCATCATCTTTAAACACTTCTTCCTTTCCAGGTTGCGGGGGTCACTGGTGCCCATGTGCTGCAGTCACTGTACGAGAGGCGGGGGACACCTGGACAGGTTGCAAGTCTGTCACAGGGTTGTAGTGGAACAGTTTCACAATAATGTTCCCTTTTGGCACAGTTCAAAAGCCTGCCTCTCTGATAGTATGGGGGTGCATTAGTGCCGCTGGTCTTTTTAGAGAAGGCCTTGCATATTTCAGCAAGACGAGCAAATCTTTGCGTTCTGCTTTTATTTACATTTTACCACCATTTTTTAGATTTAAGGTTGTATTTCCAGTTTGTACGAGACGTCTCCTTCAGGAATCTTGTACTGGTTTGTTACGTGAACGCCACAGATCACCCAGCTCTGTACTTCTACACGCCTGTCTTCCACCTTTCACAGCACTTGAAATATAACGTTTATCATTAATTGTCCAGTGTGTTTCTTCTACCCTTTATTTACTTATATTTCTTTGTGTCCTACAGATGTCTGAGTCAGTATCCCTACGCCACTGGTTCGAGTTCTGTTCATGTCCTACAAACAGAAGCATTCTGAAACCTTGGAGAGAGCCCGTCGAGAAGACCTGCTGTAGATGCTGAAACAGCGTCGGGTCATGTGACGGGCAGGTTTCATCCGTTTAGTGAACATCAGAAAAAGTTTTTTTTAAAGGATTCCGTTCAATGTAATGTCTTATCCCACATCACAAAATATGCGTGTGTGCGTATTAATCCTAGTCTTACCTATTTTTGTTGCGCTGTAGATGTTCTCTACTGGGAACACCGAGCCGAGACTGTAGAGGAGAACTTTAGCCAGCGCTGGTATGAGCTGCGTCGTGGTCACCAACACGTTGACACAGTTACTCCTTCAGGAAAGACACGTAGAACAGAACAGCTGTCAGTATTTTATTTAACGTATGCCTAATACACAGACTACGATGACGCTAATGGATCAGGTCCAACGGTCACAGGAGAGAGGGTGCAGTCTGAGTGGACTGGGAATAAAGCGACACCTGGAGCTGATGATAGAGAGGGACTTGAGTGCGTGGGTGAGCCAGGAATCTGTCAGAGCTTCCACCTCGGCTCTGAGCTGCAGCCAGGCGTCTCTTTTAGCCGGACCCAGCAGACCTGCAACATGGAAACGGTTTCAAGGTGTCAAAACCGTCTGGATGAACCGATACGGGCTCGAATTCAAAGGTCACATCTTTGCTTTCATGTCTGAATAATCTGCACACCGCTTTAAGATTTACTCATGAAGTCACCGCTTTTATATTTGTAGCTCAATTTCCTAAAACTTACTTCCAAGTTACAGCAGTCCTTACTTTAATGGAAAAACAAAACGTCTCATCTCCCTCCCAGACTCCATTTGTATCAGCTTACCCCCAACATTGTTTTTGTAAGTGCTATATAACTCCTTGACCCGTCGGTAGCGGAAGGCCAGCTTCCTCATCCAGTCGACCCCGCCGCGGACCCCCGTAGCCAGGCACAAATTAGCGCTGGTTGCAGCTGCATGGAAGCCATCAGTTGCAAAACTGTAAGTACTGTCAATAATAATAATGTTTTATTTGTAAAGTCTGAGCTGGAGGAACAGAAAAGTTGATTTGCTGTTATTGGTTATTACAAGAATCAACAGCTGCAGAAACTTCAACGTTTCAATAATCACCTCAAGTCCTGGCCGTTGTCGTCTGATGAGACGTCATCGATGTGGACCTGATCACATTCCTGCAGTCACAAAAAGGGCATCGTTTACATGAATGCATGTCGCCCGCCGCCTTGATCTGACATTTTATGCTGAGAAATGACGACGCTGTAGTCGTTCCGGTCAAACCTTATCAAAGACGTGAGATCTCCCCAGATGTTACACTCCTCTTTGAACTGACATTTATAAATACATGTAACATATCCACTTCAATTACTAGCAAAGGATCCATTTAAAGGCCTTTTTTAACAACAAAAATAAATAACACAAAGGGAGTGAAAGTGGTTTTTGTTACAATCAATATATCATCCATGTGATTTTATATAAACCATCCATTTCTTCCAGCGTAAAGTAAATTGG